GGATTAATGAAACGAAATTTCAATCCTACATTAAATAGAGCTCACCTTATGTTTTTCTAAGATGTTATTTTACTCTGTTATGGATTTGTATAAATTCTTTTTCTTCTTTATTTGTACAATTGATTGGTTAACAAACTGTCTGTAGCTTATCTTTACGCTGCGGATCGATACACAAATAAGCTGACTGATATAATGAAACTATAAGTCTTCCTTGTCTACTTTAATATTATAAACTATGTCGTTTGTTTGCTTGCATTGAGTATACTCCAAAACTACTGGAAAGATTTAAAAAAAAAATATTCACTAACAGGAAACTTCGTCATACGCGGCATATATAGACCATAATTTAGGCGGCCATAGTCGCAAGAAAACAGCTAGTCAACTATAGAGTGCAGTAAATAAACAAGACAGTTGTTTCAAACTTGATAAGGTACAACATATCACGATAGTGTGACTACTATCTTGGGAGCTGTTTACAGACAATAAGAACTCACAACAATGTCGCAAAGGTCTCGTATTGGGAACGAAACTTAGTTGCAAATGTTACACGAATTGAACTTGATACTAAAATGTAAACAGGAGGCATACGGCTAGGAATATTGTCTTGAATCTTATAAAACGTGGAACAATTGTCTAATCTTTCAAAGATAAAGCGATTGTGACATTTAGTCCGGGCAAAGCACCTCGGCTCGTCGGGCAACCTCTAAGAGGCTATCGCAGATGTGAAGGCGCTGGGAGCGTTCCTGACAGAGCTGGGCTGGCTGGAGTAGTATCCGGCCACACACCCTCCACACGCAAAATAGACGCAATTTGGTCGTCGAGTTGCAGAAAGAAGAAGCGACTGTGACAGCTAATGACAGCGAAAAGTTCGCAATCGCTTTTTTAAATGAATGTTTAATTTAAAGATATAGCTGCAATTTTCTTATATTTAAATTGCAAAATAATTATTTTCGGGATTCTCACGATAAACCCCTAATAGACGTTATAGTTATCTTTTCAATAAATTACATATGACAAACGGAATAACGAATGACTAACAAATCAGTTTTTTTTATATGGATGGACATGAGTGATATTGGAAGGTTTCAGTCTTTTGTATTTTAGGAAAGCATCACGATATGGACGCTTGTACCTTTCTACATTATTCAAGGCATATGCTCATCTAGTAGGCGTATCTGCTATTCTCTTTATATTGCTTTCCTATTTCTTAGTACTACTGTCGATACTATGACACGACACTTATACCTCGAGATTTCCCTGACGTAACTTATAGCCCTGTATGTGAACGAATTTTAAAACCCGTTGAATAGCTTCGGAGCCTCTTCTATGCAAACAAACAAATAAATTCATATTATTTTTGCATATTTACTAAGGAAATTAATTCATAAAAACGAAGATTGTTTCATTGCTTCTTGTAAATATATATACGCTAAGTATGATATGTGTATTCATATTAAAATAATTCCGCATTTGTACCACAAATAGCCTGTTGTTCTATTTCGTTATTCCAAGTATCCCGTATGTGACCGAACTTTATTTGTACGACACCATTGCTATATTCTGTTGTTAAATCAAACAAAGGAAAATGTAAATAGTATCCTATGAATGGTTTTATCAATACGTAACGACTATTGTTTTCATTTCACCTACCTAATACTAAGAATCAATCGCATCATATATTTTTATTGAATGTTATTTTTCATTAAAAAAAAAAGAGTTTTTAACAAATTGTCATACGTGGTTCGCACTAAAAGTTTAAGGAATTAGTAACAAAAAGATATCAGTAATGGTCAATAATGAATTTATTTTTTTCTAAAAATATTCTCCCTTTACGTCAATGCGATTTTGCATACGATTGAACTAATTTTGAAAACATTTGTGCCGCTTCTCCGTGGTGACGTCAGATACATGTTTTTATGTTCTTCAACAGCCTCTTCTGTCTGTTTCAATCATACGGCGTACAGTATCAAAGTTTTTTTCCTTTCACAGTGGTGCACGGGCTACCTTCAAGTACATTTTAATTACGATTCACAAGATTGCTATAAATAGTCCTCCTGCATGGTACTTCATCGCCAAAAGCATAAAGCCGAACGAAGCTGTGCTAAGCTGTCAAATTACATTTATAATCGTAAAAGATCTTGCAAAGGAAATTTTTAAATGTAACAATAACTATTTAAATATTATTTATGCAAGTGGTCTATTCCAGAAAATGTTAGTGTGAGCTAAGTGTATATTATATATGAATAATATTATTGAGATTACTAAAAAGGTAATGTCCAAAAAAAGGTGTAATTCATGACAAGAAATAAGCAAGAAGTTCAATAGACAATGGGTGTTAGATCGTTACTATACGTTTGCAAGAATTACCTACCATAACATTCTTGGTACGTAGTTATAAATGCCAATTATTCTGCACTGCTTCCTTTGGTTCGCAGTTAATAATCCACTCTCTGTATTGTCTCTCCTCCATTCAAATAACAGTGCACTGTCATAATGGATTTGTAACTGACTGTCCAGAGAACTTCACTTGGTCTATGGATATAACCTTTGTATTGATTCAGAAGCCATTTGAATATACACAGGATTATCAAGGATATCTTCTCTCTCACATTTCTCTCGCCATCAATTATGGACAGCAGATATATTAAAATTCATTATTAAAATGTGAGACAGATTGTTAAATTATTGTGGACGATTGGCCGAGATAGAGTTGTCGCATCCGTGTTTCAATTACTAGTTCTTCGGACACTTACCTGCTGTGTACACTTTACCCATATATATTAAGTTAATTATATTTCTTTTTGTGCATATGACTTGAAAGAAAATTTACTTTATTTTCAATGCCAAATTTAAAAAAAAACTGAATAGTACAACTGCTGACTAATGAAAAACTAGATATATCACGACAGGAGCTCAGGTCTTCAATTAAATAAAACTGTTGCATCCGAGACCAACGGCTTACCGAACTTTCTAAAGCATTGGGAAGCCCGAGATAATAAATGTTTGGTCACCTATCCGATGACCAATTTAAGAAAATAACTTAACCTTTGCATCGGCGCTATCGAGCACCATAATTGAAATGTGTTTTAGTTGGTTTTGTTATTACTCTGGGTTACGAAAATGACGCTTTTGTAGGCGAGATTGTACCTGAAAAATAAATAAATAGTTAACAATGTTTTTGAATCAATTATACAAGAAGCGAGGTGGATTTTTCAAGGAAATCTATGAGCAATTGAAAGATGATAATAAAGGTTGTAAATATTTTTATGGATATGGATAAATATATAACATTAAAAAATTATTTAATTGATGATTAAGATGGTAAACAAATACCTACAAAGTATCTGTGAACAAAAAGAATAAGAAAATAGTTGATTATTTTTGACCCACTCAATTGCACACACGTCAATAAAGATTTAATTGTATCGGTAACGTGGCTTAAATCGATGACAATCTTAATGGTCGTTTTTGCAGTTTGAATTTTATTTTCGATTGACAATTGTTTTCTTTTTCTCATCATCTATGCAAGTCAATGAATAAACCAAATATTATTTTCAATTACTATTTCATCAGTCCATCGAAAAGATAAAAATATTGTAACATTATGAACTCTAACAAAAGAGTAACATTAAGAAAACCCAGTATAACTAAAAACAAAGTTATAAAAAAGATATCGACAAAAGTCCATATTCCTATTTATTTCAAGCGTTGTGTTAAAATTGTGACTCAATTAATGCAAAAATAATTTAAACTGTGGTAGAATTTCATCGAGTTTGTAATAATTATCAACTTAAAACTATGAAATAAATTAACTTTAAAGAGAACTCAATTTCATCATGTGTCTGTTCTGAGTGAAATAATTTAATAAATCTCAACTTTCAGGTTAAGGGTTGTCAGATTATCCTTTATATCATCAACATAACACTATAATTACTTTCGTAGGAATGTTTATTCATAACCTACTTATAAATATATTAATATTAAATATGTAGTTAAGACAATACTGTCGAATATGAAATTAATTAAATTAAATTATACATTTACGAGTGGTTTATATTACACAATAATGAATAAAGATTCTTGATTGATTCTTGTTAATGTACCTACTATAGGCAAAGGGCCAAGACATTTGCGACTAGGACAAAGAAATCTTTTATATGTATGTTACAAATCTTGGACTTAATAAAGTTCAAAACTCATGTATGTATGAGTTTTGAACTTTATTAAGTCCAAGATTTAATACAGATCTTAATACACGAGCAATCAATGGACTTGTTATATCCATCTTGAAAATAATATCGTTATGGGAACAATATTTGTTTTCGCCATAAATTTATTAACTGGTTTATTATTTTTTGTATGATATCTTTATAACGATACAACTTTGAAAAACTCCTCATTGAATAGTATGCCAAATGTGTGGTTGTTTTAACATTATATTCCTTTTCAGGTAATTCACCAAAAAGGGGATGACGTTCGGTGACGAAGACGAACGGTGTGGCGCGGGGTGATCAGTCACGGGGCATGTGGGTGCTGCTAATGCTGGCGCTGGTGGCGGCTGCCTCTGCCGACTGCCCGCGTCACTGCGAGTGTAAGTGGCGCAGTGGCAAGGAGTCCGCCCTCTGCGCCCGCGCCGGCCTCACCGCAGTGCCGCCCCGTCTCGACCCAACGACACAACTTCTAGACCTCGCTGATAACCGCCTGTCTACGCTCAGAGATGATGCATTTGCTGCAGCTGGCTTACTTAATCTTCAACGTCTTTATCTCCCTTCGTGTAACATTCGCACCATACGTCAATATGCTTTCAGAGCTCTTGTAAATCTCGTCGAATTAGATCTTTCTCGAAATCGTCTTGATGCTATACCTTCACAAGCTTTTTATTCTATACCAGAACTCCGAGAATTACGACTGAGTGGCAATCCAATAACAAAAATTCCAGACGACTCATTTTCAGCTTTACCCCATTTGGTCCGGTTATCTTTAAGCTCTTGTAAAATATCTGAAATAGAACCCCGTGGGTTCACTGGACTTGAAGCATCCCTTGAATATCTAGAGCTGAGTAAAAATCGTTTACAAATACTACACGTAGCAGTTTTGGCGCCTTTACGATCATTAAAAGGTTTAGAGCTTGCAAACAATCCATGGGAATGTAGCTGTGCTTTGAGACCAATGCGTGACTGGATGATTAGAAGAAACGTGCCTGCTACTGTTGTTCCAGAATGTGCTTTGCCACCCCGATTAATGGCTCAATCGTGGGATCGCCTTGATTTAGAAGATTTTGCTTGCAGACCTGAAGTTAGTGCAGCTCCAAATCAGTTCAAAGGAATGGAAGGGGACGAAGTTACATTAGTATGTCGAGTGTCTGGTGTGCCTGCTCCGAGAGTGCGATGGTTACGTGCGGGCCGTTTACTCGCGAATACTACATCCACTAATGTCAATTCTGGAAGAGCTTTTATGTTACGCAGTGAAGGACATACTAGTAATTTAACTATTAAGTCAGCTGATATACAAGATGCTGGGTCTTACGTATGTAACGCTGAAAATCGTGCCGGAAAGGCTGAAGTTATATTAAGCTTAGCGATAGAAAAGAAACCCCCTAATAAAAGTTTTGGTGGTCGGGCGTTGATGGCTGGAATGGCGGTATCCGCTGTCATAGTGTTAAGCTCGTGTCTAATAGGTTTGTGTGCATATGAGACGCGTAAGAAAAGACAATTAGATAGGTGGAATGAACAGATTGTGACTACAAGTCATCGTGACGATAGTTATGAAAAAATAGAAGCTAATATTAAAAATACTGTAGAAGGACCGCGAGTGATATCTTCGGACAATGGTCGTAAAAGAGGTGATTATAGAAATGTGCCTTTACATGATCCGGAAGATGATTACGAAGGTTACTTGAAGGGCGAAGTTCGAGAAGATAGAGACTCTTCTTTAACTCCACCTATAGATTCTGTTTGGCGACGAACTGATTACGATTCCAGAGTATCTAGAAATAATATAACCGAAAGAGACTTGCATATACCAAGATTAAGCGATTATAATTTAAGGTAATAACTGCATATAATATGTATACATTTATATGAAAACTATTAGTCTTATTCGTAAGATTTAAGTCTCAAGGATTTTTTCTAGTGATACAATATGATAATATTGTGATTTATGTTATTATTCCTACTATAATAATGATGAATCTATATTTCAATATTTTCGGCAATGTTTTGCAACTACATTGCCTACTATTATACTAATTATATTACAGTAATTAATTTAATTTTATATGATTAACTTTAAATTAATAATTATATCATCAAAGAAAAATTCTACCAGACCCAGGTACCTTGGGGTACTTAAATTTTTTTTTACCGTTTTAGGTTTTAGAGGTACTTAAATGTTCTCTTATCTAACTAAAAATAATGAAGTGACAAGAATACCATAAATTTGTTATTATTAAAGTTTATTTTAAGTGAAAAAAATAAACTAAACTTTTAATTCCTTTTCTTAATAAGTTTGAACAGCAATCTCTTATTTTTGTTACAGATCGGATCCAACGTCTGAATCAGTGCAGAGTTCTAACTCTACAGGGGTATTAAACCCTCACGTAGAGATACTATCAGAAAGCAATCGGTACAACAATAATCCCCGATCGTGCCCCAGGCCTCGCATTCGCGACCGTCTCGACAATGATCTCTCTGGAAGTGACAGTGAAAAGAACTATCCCGATCTAATAGAAATGAGCGCTCTAGGTACATCGTCATATTTAAGAAGCGAAGCCAAGCATGACCCATATTACTTTTATACGATACCACGGAGAAAAGACGGCGATAGCCGTAGCCCACTGCTTAGTAGTAGGCGTAATAGTTCAGGGGGAGATTCTATAACTTATTATGATAAGCCGTATGAAAAAAATAGACAACGTTCTTCAGGACGAAGATCAAATAGTTTTCTCGATTTGTCTACTGGCGGCAATCGAATACGAAGAAATCCAAGTTTGCCCGCTTCACCTACAAGAGAACAACCGACAGTACCGTCCGCCACACCTCTGCTGGATCTCTCAGGGCTCAGAGATTATACTCAGCGAGGGCAGCCTTTAGAGGACTTTGACTTCCGTGCATCGCAACTGGAAAAGTTTCTTGAGGAATATAGAAATCTGAGAGAACAACTTTCAAGAATGAAGGAAACTAGAGAAAATTTACAAAGAACGAGAGCAGTTGAAAACGATGAGATAAGAACCGTTATGAAAGGAAAGCCTAGTGTTGCGGTAACTGAAACATCTTCATCTGTAGCATTAGCGGACGCTGCGTCCCCATTAGCACTCAGTCCTCCTGAGTATAAGCCTCAGCAACCCCAACCTGAATGGCTCACTACTTTATTATATCGTAATTAAGCATTTCAGTAAATGTATTTGTGGAACGTTGATTCACATATTGATTTCCATTTGCGGATACAAATCCGTAGATTTGATAATTCGTAGGAGATATAACGATTGTAAATAGTAGGAAAGCCAATGGCGGTAAGAATTTAAATTGTTTGTAAGCGGAATATAAAAAAAATCATTCTTCTGAAGTTGAAATAAAGTCGATCCAAAAAAAAATTTTGTATTATTTATTGGTAAAACAATGAGATGCTGTCCTTTATGATCATAAAAGATTTTAGTACACTGATAAAATTTCTAGACTTACTATCCACGAAAAATAACTTTGACTGAAAACAGAGTTATGCAGCTGACCGTTACCACGAATATTATACCAGATATTACCAGTTAAACACAAAATACTAATAACGTGTAATACGTGTTTTTTTTCAATTATGCAATTGACGGTTTTAAGCTGTCGTCATCTTTGTGCTTCCTTGTTTCGAGTTTCAGCTGAGTTAATATAGAAAATAATATTTCTTTTATTATCTCGGGCCAAAGCAGTTGGTTATTTCCCAAGATGAGAGCTTTAGTTACTTCATAATATTATCTAGTGTTCTTTTTACAAATTTCATTTGTTTTGAATAATTGAAAGCAATACATAACATAAAAAAGTAAATAAAAAAACTAAAACAAAACTACAGCTAACTCACGCTCTAAAAAGTTTGAAATAAGAAATTTATTTCATAACAACAGGTTGTTTTGTTATGATCAGTGGCATAGGATTACGTTGTCCTTCGGTCATCGCTTTTATGATATTTTGAAATAAATTTCTTGTTTAAAACTTTTTAGAGTGTGATTTAGCTGTAGTCGGGTTTTGGTTTTTGTATTATTTTTTTTATATTATGTATATAAATATAATTATGCCGGTCATAGGATGGGTGACCGAAAATTTATTATCTCGAGCCCCTCCGTGCTTCAGAAAGCAGGTCGCGGCAACATCTGCAGTCGTAAATACCCACCAATTCGTGCTGGGACGTTGTGGTGGGTCATGGCTCTTTCTCCTCGTTCGATTCGATACCATCCATAAGGAAAGCCTGAGCTCCAGCTGTGAGGACATTAATAGGTTGTCGATGTGATATGCTGTTATGCTTAAAAGATATATTTCAGTGTAAATGAGGAGCTCGATGGTGCAATGGTTAGCGGGTATGGTATGCGATGCGGAAGTTAAAAAAATTTGAGCTAACGAAAAACTGGTCATAAGATCATCATCATTATCATCATCCTTTCATGCCTTTTTATGTTCCCACTACAGGTGCTCAGGACTTCCTTATGAATGGGTAAGGAGGACGGGCCTTGACTCTCCTTGCTGGCCTAATGCATATTGGAAAGTATTAACGAGTGCAAATGCAGTCGGGATGACATAACTTCCGAAGCACTGAGATCGAGATAATAATTTTTGGTCACCCATCCCGCGACCGACCCTTGCGAAAGATGTTTAACAACAAAGATGGCGTGCCGCGGCGCTTATCAACTACGCCATCGGGCTACTCGATCAAAAGATGGGTGACCAAAAATGTAATATCTTGAACTCTTCTGTATTTTGGAAGGTAAGTTGGTCCCGGCTGCATCTGCGGTTATTAAAACTCATCAATCCACACTGATGGTCATTGCCCATGATGTGATGATGAATGCATTTGACATTTCTTAATCGGCAGCACTAGATGGCATGGCGTCCTAATGAGATACACGTCATTCAATCCAGGTCTTGACAAATTAAGATCTACGTTATTTTGAAATTTTATGGTTACTTCTTATGCTGTTGTGTTCAGAAGTAATCATCATCTTTGGCCTTTTCACGTCGCCACTGCAAGGGCTTCAAGCCTTCTTTATGGATAGTTAAGGAGAATGGGATATAAACCTCCACGCTGGCAGAATGCAGCCAATTAACGACAGCAAATTGCTCAACCAACGGCTTAAGGTGCCTTCCAAAGCACTGAGTTGCTCGATATAATAAGTTTTTGGTTACCCATCTCGTCACCGAACCTTGCGAAAGTTGCTTAACATAAACGATCGCGGAACGCGGCGCTCATCCACTAGGCCACTAAGCTACTCTTTTTATAAGTAATATTTCAATTAAAATTAAAGCGAATAGGTATGTAAAAATTGGTGGTAAAACATAAACAATCTTGTATAAGCTCAATAAAAAGTTATTTAAGAACGATATTGTATTATAGGAAGCGTCATCACAAAAAAAGCTTTGTCAATGACGACAAAAACAAAGGGCAGCCTTATTCACGTCTCACGTGCCAAAATCGACGAAATGACTTTGGAAGTGTCCTAAAAAGTTGGAGTAACAGCCGTTCAGCTCGTTAGCCTGACAGAATACATTGGTAAATTTGCTGCGCTCGTATGATATGACATATGTTCCTATATTGTGTCCCGTTTTTGTTATTCGATGATGGGAATCGATGAAAGGCTTCTGTTTTTTTTTATGTTAACCGGTACTTACAGTGGTATTAACAAACAAGGTTTAGTATTTTCAGTAAAATGCTAAGTTATGCTATAACGATGACTAAGGATGTTTCTATGATACTTTATAAATCCGTGCAATCCGTTGTGTGTGTGTCGATACAGTGGACGTTCAACTTATTGAGACTAATAACTTGTTTCTTTGATTTTTGATTTACTGTAGAATCACAGCAGAGTTGCAAAGAAAATTTTTGCAGTAATAATTTTCTTTCAAAATAGTGCAATTAATTAAAAATGAAACATTTTTTAAGAAACTTGACGCCATTTGTAAATAAATAACCAGTTCTTGCGATTAGAAAAGAAAATAGTTGTAAGCTTTCGATCAGCTGCGACTATGGTTTCCATTGAATAGATCATGGTTACAACATTTTAAACATTTTAAAAAGTTTATTAATAACTAATGGTGAAATTTAACCGTAGAAAGTGTTCAGTAAAATACTTTATAAGGTTTCCGAAGTTTTTTTAATATACTCGAACTGTGAAATTCTCTTTTAAACTCTTTGACTTCGTATACTGTGTGAATCCGTAAAAGTAATGAGCAAATTAACACTAACATTATTATAGCAAAAGTAAATTCTGACTGTTGACTTTCTACGAAATTATAATTATACATTTTTCACATACAATTCCTTATCATGATAATTATTTAAAAAATTATGAGTTTTGAATGCATGCTATATCAGCTAATGCTTAACTTATTTCAGCGAAATGAAGCTTAATTTTTTTTTCTGTATAAAACATTTTGACATAGAAGTTTGGCCATAAAAATGACCCACAATAGATAAGATGTCTTTTGTATAATAAGAAAATCGTGAGCAACGCATGAAAATTTTCAACTCTTAACAGTACTAGGTAGTAGTAAAACGCCATTTAACCTAAGTCATTATAAAATCAATAGTAATGCTGTTAGCATTAGATAATTTGTAACGAAATATTTATCAATAAGTTGAAACAATTAGCGTAAGTCGTTAGAGTAGGGAATCCCATACTTTGTATTATTTTTAAGGCAATTTATTATAAAAAGATAACCTTTCTAAGAACGAGATTTTTGTATTTACCCATTCGAATCTTGCAAGTTCAGTTGGAATAAATCATGTGACTTGTATTGTTAAATAATTGTTTACTTTTTATGCAAAAATGCTTAAAATAACGGCTGATTTGAGGAAGGTACTTATTACTTAATAAATATTAAACTACTGTTTACATTTTCATGTGTACATATGTTTTGGAAATGTTAATACTGTTACAGAGTGCAGCGGCGAGGTCCGTCTACGCGTTAATAGATAGCGTTATGCGCCAATGAATCGCGCCAACACTGTTGAAATTACCTGTGTAATATAGGTATATATCGGGTCGGTGAGAAAAGGACAGTCACTGGGGAAGAAAAGGGACGAGTAACTGTTCTAGAACTTTTTGGTAGTGCCTCGAATACACTGGTAGGGCCGAAGAAACACCTAGAATATTCTAGATGTGGTATCAGCCCCTATAAATACGCGGTGAACTACTCGTCCCTCTACAATGAACAAGCGAGTCATGCGATTCTGTAAAAAACCAGATCCGATTTCAAATTCACTCATGTGTCCGAATCAGTTATTGAGTGTAGAAATTCTATTGATTCAATTTTTTTATAAAAATACAAACTAAAATTTATTGTATATACGTGTCTCAGATATTCTATTCCTATGTCATTTCGAAACTCATATTACTTATGCCACGAACCAATAGGGATGACGACTGGGTAAAAAAATGCAATTCTTTTTAGTCCGTCAGTCAGATAATAGAAAAATATTAGATACGAATTTTTTTTAACTTCAATGAAATAGATTAGATAACAGACATTAAAGTTGAGGAGGGGGGGCTCGCTACGTCACAGTTGAGTAGAAAACGTACCATAACGTGACGTCATGCGAAATTTCAACTCCATGTAACGCCATAATTTTATGATTACGAAAAAAATAAAAAAGTACGTTTTAATATTTTTAACACTCTACCTGACGGACAAACAAACAAAAATTAGTCATCATCCCTATTCGAGGTTGAGCGGATGCCGCTTTTTGAAGTGAATTCGAATACCTGAGAGATTTCGAATTCGGGTTTGTAATTTACAAAGGACAATGTCCAGCCCCCATACATTTTTCGCCTAAGAACCTCTAAGCATGTACTATCATTTTTCGTGTTATAAAGTATCTATATTTACGTCTAAATACATGTTTTAAGTAACGGACACTTCTAAGAAATGTATAAATCAAAAAATATATTTTGGATTTGAGCTTATAATTTTAACAATTGTAGCGTGCGGTTAGATTCTTTTTAATGTTTGTTTTACTTGCTTTTTGTAGGGAAATGTATGTCTACTTTGCTTTAAATGTTGATTGATGTTGTTTGCTTTAAAAGGTTCTGTAGGTTCTGTATCGGGAGCATGTACTTACCAATCTTGGAGCAACCCAGTGTTGTATACACTGAAGGATCTGCTCATCTTCTAATACCATGCAACCAGAAGCTGAACCGCAATTAACACAAAATACTTCAAAACACCCAGATTCCATGTTAATGTCCGTTAAATAAATGCCAAGTCGTCGTCTTTAGTAGGTCGGTATGCCGTAAATCACTGCCGGAGGTCGATATTATAAGACGAAATCAGTCCTTAGTTCAAGCCAAGTCGTTATTTTATAACTAATATTCACAAGACACAAGAAATCGTACAAACCAACTCAAGCGACATAAACAGAACGCGAGTATGAAAGCGATTGTCAAACAAAACTTCAAAAGTTCAAAATTGTCAAACGTATGTAAAAGAGCGCTTCCAGCCGCTTAAAAATCTACGAACATTTTGAGTCTCGTTTTAATGTCAAGCGCTTTAAGT